TCATATCCTAGGCTAAGTGCTCTACATCTGGGTTGAGGATGGCCGCCTGAGGATAGCTAAGAAGCCATAAATGACCATTCCGGTCACCCATGTCTTTTTCGATGATGTCCTTCTACAGCAGAATACGAAGAAATTTTCGTCATGCTATAATGTCGGTTTTTTAATGAAATGTTACTTAAAAAGAATACACATTAAAGAAAACTTCTTAAATAGTATGCGTCTTCTCATTGGTTTTCATTGCTCATTTAAATGCACGTAGAATTAATAGCAAACATACATAAAATATCTTGTTTTCGACTTACTTGGTAGACAATTACTTCTCCTTTAAATATTACACCTGATGGGAAGGTTGTTTTACGTTACAAAATATAAGTTGATTGCTGAATACTTTTGAACCCGACTTTGAGCTGCACCCACGCTCAGGTTTTCGAATTAAATATTGCCTACTTTCCGTGTAAGGAGCATCACCCATTTCTCCACGCTATTATTTTGTCATAAAGCAGTTCGAAATGAGTGTGGACTCGATTGTATGGTTCATAGGCAGTATTCATAAACATACATATATGATGCTGAATGACATTAACTACAAAGGCTAGGGACACCGGAATGACCATTTCTGGGTTATTAGCTGTCATAACTCAGCCATACCCTACTCTAGAATTTGCGACCCCCGAGGCTCGAACTCGCGACCTTTTTAGTTAGGTGTCCAACGGCCTAACCATCGTGTCTGGGGCTCGCTGCCTTGCCGATTTCGAACGGGAATGTATACAACTGCCAGCGGGGCTCGCGAGAGGGAGAGAGCCCCAAGCCCTAACGGAACGAGTGAGTCCTGTAAGTGATCGGCGAAAGCTTATCTATCATGATCATTATGATCTATCATTATGTATATTCCCGATCGAAACCGGCAAAGCGGCAACCGGTACCACAGGGGATAGAGTGTTGGATTTCCAGCTAAGAAAGTCATGGATTCGAGTCTCGGAGGTCACAACTCCAAGAGTTGTGTATGGCTGGCTGACGACAGCTAGTAAGTTAGAAATGGACATTGTAGTCTCTCTTGTCTCTGCCCCTTACAGTGTTTGTAAAAGGGAAAAACCCGACCTCTTAAATCCCAGACGCTCTGTTAGAACGTACAGTAAATATGCGTAACATCTAACCTCTCCTGCCTGCTTAAAAGTTGGTAATTGCCTAAGGTTTATACCAGAGTGTTTGCTGTGCACCCGAAGCATGTTTAGATTCTTGGTTGCCCTCTGAAATTGTCCCTAACACTGCCGCACTTGACAGTTACTTCATATGCCGGTTGGTGTGTGCTCCTTTCCAGTGCATGATCAGGCAGACTCGAACGTTGCAAGTTCTGGCAAGAGTATTTTAAGTAATGCATCTCATATACCACTAGTCCCAGTATTTTTTTCTATGGAAACGGTGGTTATGGGAGCTTTCGCGGGTGGAGAAATAGGATAGGCAGTTAAGAAAATTTGTAGGAGTGGAAAGTGGAAAAATGTTTCCCGCGGCCACTGGGGTAAGTTGTTCCGCATGTAAATTGGAGATGTGCGCTGTGCTTCGCGCCGCGGACTATACTAATCTAAATCCAAAATAGTAATTTGTACCTCAGGCAAGTTGAAATAGACGACCTCCTAACCAAAATTTCTATTTTCTCAGGCATTTCAAGAAACCCGCATTTTGAAAATCGGAGTTTTCCGCAATACTTTAAACGATAGTACATTTTAAGTAAATCTACAGATATAAATCAACAATATTTCGAAATAAAATAAAATAAAAATGCATGTAGCAGTTAGTAAAGTATATCCCGCTGCGTCTCCTAATTCCCCACCCATGAAACCCTATAACCACAATTTCCGTAGGACAAAATGCTGGGACTAGGGGTATATGACGTGCACTATTTAAACTACTGTTGCCCAAGTCCCTCCCAAGCAAGCATGTACCAGGTATCCGTGGTATGCATGGCTATCTGGGACAAGTAGCCTTGTCTCAATGCCACTACCCGATGTTGATTAATGAATAAAAAGGTAGATTTCCAGTTTAATCTAGACAGGATATACCGTAGGTACAATATAATATTCCTTAGAAGATTTCTTCCCCATCGTAATAAATACTCCTATTTGTAGAATGTAGAATCCGTGTCACTAGTTCGATGCTTTCCCTACTACCTTGCTAAGAGTTCGGACAGGTTACTGGTTGAGTGGATTGTTCCGTTGAATATTAGGTTTTTTCTGATGAGCATGTGTAATTTCTTTGAGCACTTGCACCAAACTTTATCGGATATCATTAGACAAATAGAACTAGGGCGTATTAATACTACGCACAAATGTCAGATCTCCAAAACGCATCATAGAGCTAAACTTTGAAAGAAAAATAGGTACTTTTATCCTATGTCGGTAGCTTTTTCTTTGTATTTTAGGACGGAAAATTTGAAAAAAATGCTCAAGAATGCAGCATTTCAGAGGAAAAAGTTGATAAATAAACAACACTGAAACAATCCCTTTACACTGAAGAACCGCTTAAATGCGCTTACCTCAATGCCCACCCCTATTTGGTGTAGAATTTGTGTCCTATGTTATTTTATACCTTTACAACATATACGGACTTAGTAGTGTTTCTGCTAGGCCAAAAGGTTGCTAGAAGTTCATTTATAGGGCAGCAGACTGTAAATAAACTTTAATTGCAGAATAATGGATCACACATTTTTGGAATACATTAATATTTGTTGAATGCTTCCTCAAGGAAATGTAATCCTCACTTGCGGTCAACTTACCCTTTTGTCCCTTTCGGAGTTAAATTTCTGTCCATCCTTCAAACCCATCTGAACATAACGTAGCATGTAGTTACCTTCTGATTTTCGGGTGCATTAAATTCCATGCCAACCTTGCTTATCTCCCTTGGTTGGTTTCAAGCCCTTTGTGCATCCTTCTGTGGAGTGATCTAAGCATAACCATTCTCGGAGGAAAGTTTCCTCCTTATATACAGGGTGTTCCAAAAAAATGTATACACATTTTGAGCAATTGTAACCCTGATGTTTATCAAAATTTTATCATTTCAAAAACGGTAGAGTATTTTTAAGTATCATTTTATTATTTTTCAACTGCATTTTGACTATATTTTTAATGATTGAGAAAGCTAGAAGCTCTTGAACATGAATATTCTCAAATACGAGTGGAATTGTTTCATGGTGTGTGCAGTTCCATTGCTTCGCGTTGTCAGCAGTGTCTGGATTAAATAGACATCAGTTTGAGAGCATACAGTGCAAAAACAATAAAATAGTACTTGTAAATAATTTTTCATTTTTAAAATAATAAAATTACAATCAAAACCAAGCTTACAATTAGTTAAAATGTGTATACATTTTTTTGGGACACTCTGTGTATGCAAACTTCGAGTGTTTAAACATTTTGTAGTTAAATTCTCGATAACATTTCGCCTGCTCCCTTAATCCTCAAAAATCTCTTTTTTATAGTTCTATTCCGAATTTTGTGAACAGCATACTTGCGCCATTTGACGGTGATATGGACGGCCTGTTGACAAAACGGGAGGCCGTAAAAGGTGCTGCAAAGCTGGATGTAGGAACGGCCGAGATAAAGGTTTGACTGACTTTTTAAGTTGCAACCATGTCTGCTACAGTCCATATTCCCAATTCCCTTATTAAGAAAGTGTGTCTGCTGGATTCTAGAGTGATTGTTGAGGAAATTATGTTTGAATAGTCAGGTCACTGTGTCATAATTGGTGGATTTCGTACGTTGCGGTAGGCGGTAGGTGGTTAGAGCGTAGGATGTATTAAAGTCTTTCCCCTGTTGTCGTGGTTTTGAATTCTACCGAGGCCGCGGAATTTTTCACAAGTGAGTTAAATGAACCATTCAGGGCTACCAAATCTATCCTATTACTTAAAGACTTGTATGTTTATGCCACGTAAAAGCGAAGATTATTTTCCGGACGTGACAGTTTCTCCAGGCAGTCAAATAACCGCGATATTTGAAGAAAACTGCTCGAAAAAGATTAGGAGACGATTGGGGGACGATCAAAGACAAAACCGGTTTCCACCTGTTAGCAGTTTCCCTACAGAATGATGATTGGGATAGAGAGCATACTGAGCGTAATCGTTTCGATCACCCGAAGTCTGTGGTTTCTCCGAAAACATAAGTATGCCGTGTGGGATGATTAGCGTGCAGTTCTGTCTTTGAGATCATAGTCAAGATACTGGCACATTCCGGCTGCTTTTATAGGTTAGTTGGGCATTTACAAGGGCCTTTTATCCAGACCACGTATTTCCCC